GCAAAAACTGGAGATGTGTATCTTTACTGCCTGTTTAATAATCATAATAATAATCATCATCATAATAATAATAATCTCCAACAATATTCAAAAAGTAGGGAGCAGTAATCTGGGACACTATTATAAATGTATAATTTATGGCCCACTTGGGAGAAAACACTCGATCTTGTCAACACAAAGTGGATTTAAACCTACACTGAAAGCCTGACTCTGGTCCTCAGGTCAACCTGTCGCTCTGAACAGTTACAAGAATTATAGGAAACCACTAGAAACACACAGGATTCAGAATTATTACATTTAGAGTACGGAATACATCGAAATTAATCTTGTAGGAAATTGGAATAGATTCCTAGATGGGAGTTCACCATTCTAGATTCGGTTTATATATATATATATATATGTCTGTGTGTATTTTAAAAACCCCAATATTAAAATAATCTTCATATATACATACACACCCCCATATATATATAAATATATATAAACCGAATCTAGAACCGTGAACTCCCATCTAGGAATCTATTTCAATTTCCTTGTGAATAATTTATCTCTCTCTCTCTCTCTCTCTCTCTCTATATATATATATATATATATATAAACAGAGCTAAATTATTCACAAGGACATTGATGTATGTTTTTGCTACAATCATTTTAACACATTAATAAATACATTTCCTGTCCACATGTTTTCCCCATTCGAGACTCGATAGGCTTTTCCACCTGATTGAGATTATCAGAAGGGTGAGATTTGGGGGTACAGTTGACGTGTATTTTTTTTGGTGTGTGTGGGGGTGTGGGGGGTGGGGGGTATGGGGTGTGGCTTGAAACTCAAAGCGCAGATGATGAGCTGTTTGTTGCTTCTCCAAACTCCTCAACCACGTGTAATTCAACCACGTTAAATTAAATTAAATTAAACTAAACTAAATGGAGGGTTTTTATTGCAACAATCAAAGCCAACAACATACAGACAGACAGACAGACAGATACCAGGTGAGGTGAAATGGGGAGGAGGAGGCAAGAGTGAAAGGACACGTAGAGAGAGAGAGAGAGAGAGAGGAAAAAAAAAGAGGCAAAGAAGAAATAAAAGCAATTCCCTCTCTCCCACCCCCACCCCCCAACAACAACAACATCGTGGCTACAGTAAATGTGGTTCTCACCAAACTCTGGTGGTGACGATTGGGTGTTTGCAAAGTGGGTATAATCAGCTTTAAACAGTTTGGCTGCTTGACTCACCCAGTGCGCAGGTTGACGGCAGAATTCCTGGGATTGACTTCTCTGGAGGCCACAATTTTTTAACAGAAACAACTGCAAACCTGGCGCCGACTGGCAGTAATCCTTCACAGCTGGTTTGCAGTCCTTTCCACCCCCCTCTCTATTTTTTTCTCTCTCTCTCTCTCTCTCTCTCCCTGTCTCCCTCCCTCCCTCCCTTCTTCCATCTCTCTCTCTCTCTCTCTCTAGACTTCATTTCTTTAAACGTTTTCTTCTTAATCCCACCAACTGAAATCCAATCTCTGCAACACAAAGAAAACACACACACACACGTCAGGTGTCTGGCCGCAGGGGTTAGGGATTTGAAGTTCCCCTGTATTCTCTCTCTCTCTCCCTCTCTCTGCCCCCCACCCCCTCCCTCTCTCCCCTCTCTCTCTCTCTCTGACTGCCTTGGTCACTTCCAGGTCTCCTTGAACAACCTGCTGAATCTGTTCTGTTCTGCCCTGTACACTCAATCTACCTGCTTCTCTCTCTCTGTGTTTCAGGACCTCACAGACAGACCAGACCAGACCAGACCGCAAAGAAGATAACGGGGAGATGCTCTAAAGCGGGTCCTAGTCTTTCTCTGTCTCTCTGTCTCTCTCTCTCTGTCTGTCTCTCTCTTTCTCTCTCTCTCTCTCTTTCTCTGGCTGCAAGTTAGCTCACGTATAACCCCACAGTCAAACAATTAAATACACAATCTAACCCCATTTCCATCATGGGACCTAATAATAATAATAATAATAATAATAATAATAATAATAATCACGCTGCTGAGCTCAATTAAATACTTGCACCGTTGTGTGAGCTTTTAATACTTGACACTGGGGCACAATCCCAACCCCTTATTATGCAAAAAGGGGAAGCTTTTGAATCGACAAAAACACACACACACACACACACACACACGACCCAACGTCGAAACATTTCTGTGGAAGCGTATCATTTTTTAAAAAAAAAATGTCTCATTTCCTTCCATCGTTTCGTTTCAAATCACCGTTGTTACAGTCTCAGAGGCGATCAGAAAGGAGATAGATAATTAATTAATAATAATAATGATAATAGTAATCCTTGCAATTTGCACTGCATGACATCGTTGCTCCATTGCTGTACGTTTCGTCCAAAATATTACAAGTCAATTCCCTTTGTAGTATATTCCGTGAAGCGCTTTGAGACGTCTCGAAGAAGTGATCGAGCGCTGTGTCAAAGGCAAGGATTATTATATCACCTTTTTACACAAAAGCACACACACACACACACACACATTTTTTTTAAAAAAACTATTTGGAAAAAAAAACGAAAAACAATGCTTTTGCCACCACACACACAAAAAAAAACAATTGCTCGGAGTAAAATGACCTTCGTCCGGCGATCAAAACCAATCGCAAAACGTTATAACAAACTACAGAAAGTTTCAGGAGATCCACACACAATAAGCGAAGAAAATCAAACTTCTCCCCCCCCCCACTCCCCCCCCCATCACCCACCACCACCCCTTCCCCCTTTTGCACCGAAACAAGCCGCCGGCAACATTAAGGAAGAAAAGAAGCAAAAAAAAATGCATTGCACTTTGTAACTGAGCGTTTTCTGGTGCCATTAATTCTTTTATAATTAACTTTTCTGGGGCTCCACAAATGCCATTGCTCACCATTTCGAAACCATTTAGCAACAGGGCTTCCAGGAGCATCGCCTTTGCAACTATCCTCCCATCACTGTTGTAATGTCCCCCCACCCCCTCCACCCCCTCAATTTTTTTTCTACCACATCCCACCGTCCGGTCAGTTGGTTGTCAGCGGTGGAGACTAAAAGCAAACGGTAAATCTGTATCATCCCCTCTGAACTGTGCTGTTCCTGTGTCCCTTTGCGGTGGAATCACTCGAGGCATCACTTTGCGGGGCCGAAAGCGGAGATTTTGGTCATACAATATTTTTCTGATTTGATTTGGATTCGCTTTTTCTGGTTGTGTTTTGCACACACACACAGACAGACAGACAGACAGACAGACAGACACACACACAGACAGACACACAGACAGACAGACACACACAGCAGACACACACACACACACAGCAGACACACACACACACACAGACACAGACAGACACACACACACACACAGACACAGACACACACACACACACACACACAGGCAGACACACACACACACACACAGACACAGACAGACACACACACACACAGACACAGACACACACACAGACACACACACACACAGACAGACACACACACAGACAGACACACACACACACAGACACAGACAGACACACTCACACACACAGACAGACAGCAGACAGATAGACACACACACACACAGACACACACACCCACAGACACACACACACACACAGACACACACACACAGACACAGACAGACACACACACACACACACACACAGACACGGACAGACAGACACACACACTCACTCACTCACTCACAGACCGACCTGGATGTCTCGGTGCATTCAGTACACACCAATCGCATGCGGTTACCCAGATAACGTGTGGATAACCGCGTTACAATGCGGGCGCGAGGATTATTATCAATAGAAGAAACACAGGGATAGAAAATGCACCGATGCTCCCGGTGGGACCAGGAATCCGGGTCCATAGCGACTGGTTATAAAAGCCAAGGACTGTGTCTTTGTGTCTTAAATAGGGACCTGGAAATCCATCATTGTATTGGTTAAAAAAAAAGAGACAACTGTTTATTAATCCGCGGCATTAATCTAATTTGGGGGAAGGGGTTGGGCCGGGAAAGGGAATTAATTGATTGATTCATTCAGATAACTTTTTTTTTTAAAAATGTTTACACATTTTATTACAATAATCTATACTGTACAACCTTGCTTTTGAATTCTCACCAGAAAGAGAAAAAATCGACCATTGCTTTGGAAATGGAGCAGAACAGGAGACACAGATTGGCAAAGACAACGTTTTTTTTTAAAAAAAAAACATACAAATAAATTTTATAATGACCCTCCCGGCAAAAAAAAAAAAAAAAAAAAATTTTTTTTTTGTTTGGAAAATAATTTGATCTAAGCAATTAAAGCACTTCTATAAAATCACTCAACAATTCTTTAGCATGCCTTTTTTTTTCAGAAACAATAAAAAAAAATCGAGTTATTTTCAATTATTTGAGTTAAATTAATCCCAGAGGTAGGTTTGCTTTGTTGTTGAATTAGGAATGAGGGTGATTATAACATTCCTTTATTTGAAGAACAGCAATAGACATGCAGGGTTTTTTTTTTTTTGGTTTGTTTTAAGTTTAATAACGAAAAAAAATAAACAAAACAACATTTTAACTTGATATTTACCAAAAGCAGAATTGCCACATGTAACAATAATAGAATTGATCTCTCTATATACAGATCCACTCTGTCGATTTTTGTTTTCAGTATCAATTAATCAATCGATTAATCAATGCATTAATTAATTAATAACAAAGTTAAACTTTTTTTGGGGGGGGGTGAGGGAAATGTTTTTTTTAAAAAAAAAAGTTTTTTTTTTATTAAAAAAAACTCCTCCCCAAAAAGGAAACCCCCAAATCGCTTTCGGGTTCGTGCAATTAAATATTGTTTTCGGCTGAAAATTAGACAGTAAATGGCGAGGGAACCTTTGGAGAGTGAGTGGTCGTCTGTACACACCGTGAAAAGGTTGCAATAGAATCTTTATAATTTTTAGTGGAGGTTTTTTTTCCCCCCCCACCCCACCCCACCCCACCCCACCCCTTTTTGGCCAGTTGTCCAGTTTTACTGTCCTGTCACACAGGTCTGTCCACTGCGTATTGACAAGCGTTCAGACTCGTCCCTGAGTTCTGCAAACTGCTGTATCCGAATCCGGTGTGGGGTTTGGGTTTAAGTCTGAATCCGGGCAGTCCAGGGTTGCAAGTGTCCCGGTAAACATATGGAGGGGTCGGCGGTGCGTAAGGACAGGCGGCCGAGGACATGGCTGAATTGAGGGAGGAACTGGTGAGATTGTTAATGCTGCCCAGGCTGGAGCCCGGCATTCCTGGCATTCCCGAGTGCACCATACTGGACTGCATCGTCATGGAGGAGATGCTGCTCGGAGCAGAGAACATGGCTTGAGAAGTCAGAGGGTTCATGGAGCTGAGGAATGGGAAACTCTTGGTGGACAGAGGGCTGGCGCCCAGGTTCTTTGTCGCCCAGTTGTTGTAGCCATAGCTGGTGTACATGTCATCGTAAGGCTGCATCAGCCCGTTAAACTGTGGTATAAATCCGTTTTTACACAGGTCCACTTGCTGGTTCCGTTCCCTCTTCCTCCATTTTGCTCTGCGGTTCTTAAACCAAACCTGGGGAGGAACATGGCACAAGGGAGGTCAGGATTGCAAGCTCAAAGCTCTCAACGCTGCATACATTTTACACCGTAATGATAATAATAATAATAATATCGATAATGTTAATCATTGCACTGGATGCAGCGCCTCCTCACGTCTTCTAGAATTCACTATGTTTTGTGGGCGAAACGGGGGCAGACAATTACGCACGACAATATATATGTGTATATTTCTATATAAAAATAAAACATCATTAGGCACGGACACGAGCCACCACCGACAATCTTCAAAAATAACACGTTACACAAACAAACCCTCAAAAGAAAGTCGGACTTGTTAAAGGTTTTTCATTTCAAGATTCCAAGTGGCCACTAAACACCTCCACTACGGTGTCGCTTTATGTGGTCGTTTTATGGACCCACGACCTATAAGGTGTGATGACACTCTCGGCTCAAAGACACAGCGATCCCAGGGATGAACACAACAACCAGGGGCATGAAATCACTGGATAGAGAGAAAGTGAGAGAAGAGAGAGGGAGAGAGAGAGAGAGAGAGAGAGAGAGAGAGAGGGGTGAACAGGAACAGACAGGTTGGTTGGAGTTTTTGGTGCAATGCAGCAATCCCACTGAAAACACTGCTAAACTCACTCACAAAACAGCCCCCTCTTGTTGTCTCTTGCTCTCCCCACCTTTTCCACTGTTCTCTTTCTATCCTCTGGTTCCAAAAAGCCTCACCAGAGTCTCGCTACTCTGATAATAATAATAATAATAATAATTGAGAAGGTGGCCATCCGGTAAGGCAGTCAACTCGATGGGGTTTTGAATCGAATGAAACCGATCCAAGCCAAGTTAGCTTTACGCAAACTAGTTTGTTTGGTCTTTGGCACCAGCAGTCAGTGACTGCCTTAAAACTCCTCCGAGATAAACTCTTTGGCCGACCCTTCAACAGTCGTTGAACATTGAAATGTTAATTAAAAAAAAAATCGCCCTCTCTTCCCCCAGTGTCCTTCCTGGTTCGTTTTATATCTGTGTTACTTAATAATGTCCAGAGAAAGCAAATAGCCATCAAAGCTATGCGCCCGTAGTTTTCATGTTAATTCATAATTAATCAAACATTTCACTCTCAGTGCTGTGGGGGTTTCACGACAGTGGAGCGAAGAGTTCCAGATCAAAAGACAATTTAATTTAGGTCCAACAAACGTCGTAGAAAAATTGCATCAAGCGAAAAATCTAGTTAATCAACAAACCCCCCCCCACCCCCCGAAGCAATTTAAAATCAAATAATATCCATGATATCAAGCACTTTTTAAAACACATTTGGCTGTTAAATTGTACGATTAAAAGGACATCAAACTAAATTGATATACATGTATTGAATGCAAAGATATGTTTCGTAACAGCAAGTTCAAACTGCCTATTCTGAGGTGGGGAAATTTAGGACGGGGACATTTTATATAATATAATAATAATAATAATAATATTTGCATTTGATATAGTGCCTTATCACGTCTTCGAAACGTCTCAAAGCGCTTCGCAGAACTCTACGCATCGACTGCATATACCGTGAGAGAATTTAGACAGAATCCGACGCGGAAACCTACAGTAGAAACTAACTCACAAGTCGCTCCGTAACGCATTGCGGGGTTTAATTTAATTTAATTTAATATAATATAATTTAATTTAATTTAATCCACGAGCCATCACTGCAGACGCCTTGAGATCTGTGTCGCCTTGGCTTTTGGGGGAGCACAGCCCGTGGTCAATACAGATCACAACCTCTGCTCGGTTTCCCAGTCGAGATTTCTCGGGAGATTAAACAGCAAGCGATGCAATTATTTTAGGTGAGAGATCACGTTATAATAATAATAATAATAATAATATGTCCATGTTATGCCCCTGTAAGGGAGAAGGTCTCTCCACCCACACGCTCTGAGAAATCACCGCTTATCCCGAGTATTAATTATTATTATTAGTAGTAAATAAATGTTCCTCCCAAATCCTCAGAGCTATGTTTGAGTTCCATTAATACACCCCCAGCAGGAAGTCGCGTTAAGGCAAACGGTGTATTGCAATAAACTGTTCCTATTTTACATCTCATGCCGTTTGTGTGATCGTAATGAGCCGAATTGTTACTCGCATTTGCTGTGTAATGTGCTCTTACGATGGAGGAAGGCTCCTTCCACTGCGAGTTAACATTAATATTTCTGCAGAATTGCAGTGATAATAATTATCCCTACGTTTGGCAAAGCGCCCTTCAATGATTTCCTTTCTTTCACAACCTCGCTGGCTCTTGCTTTTTTTTGTTAAGCAACAAGGGATATGTTAAACCCAATCCAAATACCTGTGATTTCCACCTACGTTAAAAGGCGTTTTAAAATATGCCCCAATTCTGTATTTTGGCAGCTTAAAAAAAACGGGCCGACTCGAGAATAAGTGCATTTTGTGTACATTTCGCCCATCAGAATATAATAATAATAATAAATAATAATAGTCAGTTCACTTTACAGCATATTCCGCGAAGCGCTTTGAGACATCTCGAAGGCGCGTCTTGATAAGGCACTGTACCAAATGCAAGAATCATTATTAAAACCATACAATGGTCCTTCCAGTGGAGTTAATTATCATTATTATTATTATTATTATTATTGTAATTCATCGCAGGTTCATTCCTAACCACACTGCAATTGCAGAAATTGGTGATGAGTAGATATTTGACGCGGAACGGTGAAGCCTTGGGTTCATGGTTGCTGTGCGTTAATGTTCCAATGTTATTGTATAACAGTGTATTTTTTTTTGGGTGGGGAGGGGGGGACTGATTTATACACTCACCCTGACTCTGGCCTCAGTAAGGTTTGTCCACACAGCTATCTCCTCTCTCATAGACATGTCGGGGTAGCGATTCCTTTGGAAAGTGGCTTCCAGCTCTTGCAGTTGCTGACTGGTGAAGTGTGTCCTCTGTCGCCGTTGTCTCTTCTTCTTGGATGGATCCTCCACGTTGCATTCCTCTGATTTGTTCGGCATTGATTTGTCTCTATCTAACACAAGGCAAACGCACACACACAAACATTGGCACATTAGAATCGACACACACCTTTGGTGGTGGTGGTGGTGGTGGGAGAGGTGGTGGGAGAGGGGTGGGGGCTCCACACAACAAAAAAAAACGACGTGAGATTTATTTGCCTAAAACTAAAAATAAAAATAAAAACACTACTTGGTCATCACATAGAACCTAACACACGACACGAGAAACTGCTTCCCTTAAGCCTTGTCCCAACACTGGAAGAATTAACATCTCACACCCGATTTCTTCGAGTAATAATTAAGTGTTAAGGTCTTATCGGATATCATTTGACATCAAAATACCGGATTCAATCACGTCGCAGAACTGGCAGGGAAAAAAAAAACAGGAGTGGGGGAGTATTGTTGTTTGCAAGAATAATATTACCACCAGGTTTTGATCGCTTCGAAATGACAGGGCGTTTGGCTAATCATTCCCTTGGTTTTCAAACACGTGTATTTAATGTCGGGTTTATTTCTTTTTCTTTTTTTTACACACACACACACAAAAAAAAATGTCCATTTCGCCACCCAGAAAGGTTCAGGGGAATTAGGAATCGTTTCCAGTTGATGTGATGATCAAACTGCGCGTTTCTCTTTATATATATCTATCTATATATAGAACGTATAGTATATGTAACATATATATAATGTATATATACATCCTATATAAATAATAGGGTGTTTTTTTTAACAGAAAGAGAGTGTGTGGGCCAATTGCCGACACAGCCCGTGTGGAAACAAGCAGAAACCTGTCTGATTCTGTCACTCTTGTCAGCTTTCGTGGCTTAAACACTCAAAACAGTGAACAGAACTCAACCCAAACTCGCTTTAACACGTCAATTATTATTCTCTGCCCCCCCCCCCCCCCACCACCACCACCACCACCACCCCCCCACCCCCCGTGTGTGTGTGCGATTCTCTCAACGCGAGAATGGGCCAAATCCTTTAAAAATAATAATAAATAATAATAATAATCTTTAATAATAATAATAATAATAATAATCCTCGCATTTGATATCGCGCTTTTCGCGTCTTCTAGACGTCCCGACAACACGAATTAAACCCGATTATTTATTAAAATAAGATGGATCTTATTTTACACTTTTTTTTCCAAAAAAAACCCCCCAAAATCTTTGTCAATCCCAATTGCATCATTGATTCATCGGTTGACTTATTTATTTGTTTATTTATATATATCTATATATCAAATGCAAGGATTATTATTATTATTATTATTATTATTATTAATAATATTATTATTATAATATGGAGGGGGGCTAATTACTTTATTTCACCCACAAAACATACAGTCACTACACTTTCACAGTAATATCCCGTGAAGCGCGTTCAGACGTCCCGAAAGAAAACGTGATAAAGGGGCTGTATCAAACACAAGGATTATTCACATCATTATTATTATAATTATTATTATAATTATTATTATAATTATTACTATTATTATCAGAATCTCTGGTCACAAAGCCATGTGTGTGTGTGTTGAGAGAGAGAGAGAGACAGTGAGTGAGTGAGAGACAGAGAGAGACAGAGAGCGCCTCTCTCTCTCTCTCTCTCTCTCCCAACACTGTCTGGGAATCGAAGTGGCACCGGATTGAGGTGCTCGGTTACCTGTAGTCTCGGTGTCCGAGGACTCACTCGCTGTGTTCTCCAGTCGCTCTCTGCCACCTTCAGCCGCTCGGGGTAACACAAACCTGGGAGAGGCCATGTCACAGGGAGCCGGAGCTCTCGAACTCTCTGTCGCTCGGTCCAAATTCATCTCTCCTTGGAATAAAAACAGTTCACTCCGGCTTTTTAGTAGGGCATGGATTCTTCTTGCTGTTGTCGTTGTTGTGGTGGCTGTGGTGGTTGTTGTGGTTGTCTTATTCACTGCTCACTGCAACTAAAAAAAAAGGGGGTGGGGGGAGAGGGGGAGGGTTGGGGGATTAAACCCCAATCTTCAGACCATAGAAATGTTATATTTCTGTATCTCTCTCTCTGTTTCTCTCTCTCTCTGTGTCTCTAATCTCTGTCTCTTCTGCTCTCTCTCTCTCTCTCTGGCTCTCAGCGGCACATGGTGGGAGTTGTATCAACTGTTCTGTTCGACTGAGTGTGGCAGACGCACATTTATATGAAGGCAAGGCAAGGCAAGGCAAGGCAAGGGGAAGGGAAGGGAAGGCAAGGCAAGGGAAGGCAAGGCAAGGCAAGGCAAGGCAAGGGAAGGCAAGGCAAGGCAAGGGAAGGCAAGGCAAGGGAAGGCAAGGGAAGGCAAGGGAAGGCAGTGTTTGGCTGTGTCAGGCAGAACAGGAAGGCGAGAGAGAGAGAGAGAGAGAAAGAGGGACAGAGAGAGAGAGAGAAAAAGTTGGATGTCTGTAACGTGTTGGGAAAGGAGGAATGACCCGCCTTGGATAAAGCAGCAACAGTGATACTGAACTCCTCCCACAGTTAGGAAATACCTCCTAGAAATTTTTTTTTTGCTGATGATGAAACGCCACCCACACAACACAACACATCACATCACATCACATCACATCACACACGACTCCACTGACCTAATCTGGGCAAACACGCTTGTGGCAGTCTCTCTCTCTCTCTCTCTCTCTCTCTCTCTCTATCCCTCCCTCCCTCTCAGTCACAGCAAGGATATGGCAACAACCAAAGCCATTCCAGAATAAGAGACTGAGACTGGGGAGTGATGTGTGGATGCAAAATGCAGTCAAACACAACGACCGACCGACCGACTGATCACCCGTTGCATTTAATACGGGAGCGATAGAAACCCCAGTAACAGTTGAAAATATTTCGCATCGTTTCTGTTCACAGGGCTCTGCAAACACACACAACATCACCCCGAACTTCTGACATCAAGTCTGGACGCTATATTGTAATCAGACTCCGAACGAGTACACTTCCATTGCATTGCATGTATCACGATGGCTGATAAATATTCACAGGATCAAACCGTCAGAATAAAGGGAATGTGCACAGTCGATCGTCCCTTAATCTGTTTGCACAACACGTTTGGGTTTTTTTTTTTTGAAATTTTTTTTCCCCCCCAAAAAAGAAACTAACATTTGTTTGAATGAGGGACAATATTTTTTTTCCAGCAGTGGAGGGTTCCTACTTTTATTACGTTTCGTGACCTGTCACTCCCCATCCCCCCCCACTCCCACCCCCCCACCCACCCCACAACCCCTTCCCAGATGTCACAATTTAGGGGGGAAATAATCCCTAAATATGGATTAAACATTGGCTCCGAGGAGAAGTCAGCACGGTTCGTTTTAAAGATCTCTGGCGCATGTAAATAACATTTCAAAGACAATTTCCAGTTTTCCTTGGGTCACTGGAGAAATTAGATCTATACTTAAAGCGCCAATTTTTGTGCACGTACTGTAGCCCAATAAAGCTCACCCTATAATAATATATCTCTTCTGGGCTATTGGTACATTTCAACATCAGTGTTTGGTTTTTTTTTCACGAGGAGAAAAACTACTTTCTTTTTTCTTCCATGTGTAAAAAAAAATGCTCCCTGCAATGTCACTTACTGCTATAAAGTGTGTGTGTGTGTGTGTTTTTGTGGCTGGAGTGAGTCTGACATAGATATAAGGTGGAGATGAGCGATGATCTGTGGGATCAGATTTTAGTAATGGGACTGATAAATATCTGCCAGACTGAGAAAACTGTACAGTACCTCTGCGGTAGGATCATTCTGTCTGAAAATACGAGGTACACAGTCCTACAGTTCTGAAACCATATACATGATACAGATATCCGAAGAGAGACACTACAAAGAGCTATATATATATATGTATATATATATATGCACATATTCTATTAGGTATACTTCAAAATGATTGCTGAATTGTCTCTGCAACAATGAAATGCCCACAAAATTTCGTTTCGCTCACAAAATATAAACTCTATTCACTTTACAGTGTATCCTGTGAAGTGCTTTGAGACGTCTCGAAGACGTGGTAAGGGGCTATATCAAATGCAAGAATTATTATTATTATTATTATTATTATTATTATTATTATTATGCAGCATTTCTGCTGGGAAACATGGAATGATTATTTCACTCATTATTTTGTTCAGAGGCATCAATCGTGACAAGACTGCATCTTCCAGAACATTATATTTATCGTAATTGCATCGCAGTAAACGTATTCAACTGTACACATAATAAACGCAACTCTACGTTATTTGGCATGTGGTACAAATGTTACAAACATAACTATTTTTTGTACATGTTCGTATGTTTATATGGACACATGCACCATGAGTTGTCATTTTGTTTTGAGGTAAGAGTGTCACGTGCAGATATTTCCAGTATCCATAAATAAAATATTTTGCCTTATTAAAAATCTAAATAGGTTCATTTGGGGGAATTGGAACTATTTCTTCTTAATATGGTTAGGTTTTTGAACAGGCGTTGACATTGACATCATTCCTTCGCCTTAGTTCAACAAGTTCAACAAGCCTTAATTATATATATTTTTTTTGGGGGAGGGGGGGGATGGGGATAAGAGGCAGAGGAGTATTGTGTAATTTTTTTTCCTGCACCAGTTTCTTGCTGATAATTTTAATGCATTCCGTGTCACTGTGATGTGTTTGCAAAGACATAATAAAATATTTGCCAAACACCTTTTCGTTAAGACAGTGCCCTTTGAAGTAGAAACTCAATGCCTCGAATTTGAACGTACAAATTTTCAATCTGACCTTTAGCAAAAAAAAATGTACGGGAATGCAAAGAGAATGATTGAGACAGGGGCTGCATCAATACAATACTGTAATACTGGGGCTATTTTATACTATTTTAATTGTGTGCCGAGAAAAATGTTGTAGCCATCTGCAGCCTTCGCTTTATAGTGAATCATGTGAAGCACTTTTGAGATGTCTTCCTGATATAAATGTAACCCACATTATTCAATTCTAGTTAAAAAAAATTGAGGGGGTCAAAACTGCCTCTCAGATTTTTTTTTGTGACATTTTTCCCAAACCTGGTACAATTCGAGCGAAGACAGACTTTTTAAAAGAACAGTACTCGGTTATTTTAATGGCGTTTTGCTATTTTCACCAGTTACTTAAAATGTACTTTAAAAAAAAATGCAGAATTGGGCAAATCATTGGACGAACCCCCGTGTCTGCTGCAAAAAAAAAGATCTCTGCTATGTATTTCATACAGCTTTCAGCAGACTGATAAACCACGGATAAATGCAAACCTATTCGAGACTATTGTGACCTTTATATTTATTATTCTGTCAATGTATGCACAATGCAAAGTCAAGAGATGGGACAGGGCTTGGGGCTAAACCCTGCCAACGTCACAGCCCTGTATTTTGCTTTCATAATGATTAATTTCTTTTAAAAAAATCGCTAAACCCAGTAAAACTCGTTTTGCACTATATAATAATCATCAAAATAATTATCCGTCCATTTGGTGCAGCAGCTTTCACGTCGGGAGGACATCCCAAAGCCCTTCATGGGATATACTGTAAAGTGTAGTGACTGTGTTTTGTGGGCTAATTAATCGTGGTTAAATACCCCCCAAAACGTTGCAGGGGATGATCAGATCAATTGGATTAATGGTCGTGCCAGTAGATGATACACTACGTCCTGAACATGACTACTGTGAATTATTCTGCGCAGTAACAATGTGACAGACAGTTGTAATGCCCTTCAGCAAATGCAATGATTGGTGACTGTCACTACACATCACAGATACCAGAATGGGCTGGAGAGAGAGAGAGAGAGAGAGAGAGAGAGAGAGAAAAGGGTTTCACCTGGATTGGATTAAAAAGAATATTAACTGAATTAAACCAACAGTTGACAAGAATATATATACATATATATATTTTTTTAAAAATAAGCAGATTTCAGGGAGGAATTTCGAGACTGCAATTTCACTTTGCGGTGCAGATGCCATTCACAAATCACTCAAGTTACTCTCTAGTGGTTTATGAAACTACTCGAACGCTTCTATTTGATTAGAGGCTCATAATTCACTCTTCGGTACACACTGCTCGATGTACACGTCTGAACATCAGATGTATTTTGCAGCCGTGAGTCGAGTTATCTGAACAAAGGCAAAATAATAAAGTACTTGACTGGTATCAGATATCAATAGCACGATTTCATTGTTTTGTTGCAATCCACTGTTTTGATTCACGAGTGATCCCAGGAATAATCACTGGATTGAATCACTGGATCACCGACAGGACTGACAACCCCAAGGTCGTCTATTCTTCTTAATGCTGTCAGCATCCCATGAAAAAGGAGTAAACAAAAATAGGGGAGAAAAAGAAAAACGGGACATAAAATTGTTAGTTCTCTAAAATACAGAGAGGACGAGTCCAAAGGTGTAAGGACACAAGTCGAATTTGAGATGTTTAGAAATTCCCAAGTCTACGAGGTGAGATGTGACAGTGGAGCAATTTAACAACATCTCCTCTTGATACCCACTGACCATATGCCTCTCACGTTCACATTAGAATACACAATTTTGTATATAAAACGGGAGTATAACAGGATGTCGGCAGTCTCAGCTGTAATGAGAACAGATGTCTCCCATATTTGAACCTCGTATTTGTGCCGAACACATAAAGGCTGAGTTCAAAATGTAAACGTTCCCTGTACACTGCTATAGCTAATCCCTATATCTAAATCATAGCCCCCCAAAAAGAGACTGTGCTCCTCAATTCTATGCAAGAATTTTTAAAAATATATATATATCCATAGATAGATATACACAGACGTGATTCTAATCCTTGTGGATTTTCAGAAGAATGGCAAACATTAAGTTAAATTAAAACCAGTTTTCGGGGGTGTTGTCTATGTGGCTCCTGGAAAGTTGATTCATGCAGTTGCATTAATATTTCAGTCAGTGATTGTGTCTAAACACCA